TTCCCTATTGCATGATCAACTGCTGCTTCTTTTGTTAATAACAAAGTAGTTAATTTATAAAATTAGTTCTATTAAATGAACAGCTAAATATCTGGGTGAATATGAACATGTTGCTTAGAAATGGATGACACACAGAAGTAACATATTCAAACACTATTATCTATCTGTCATTTTTATATATTGCTACAATAAAATAATCTCATTGTATTTCATGACTTTCACATCTAGAAACTATTAAAGTGGGATGTTCTACATGGTCATCACGTATCTTACTTATATAAGATGCAGAGCAGAAGGACAAAAAAATCAAAATGAAGGTTGCTCAGAGTGCTTAAGTATGAACTGTACATTCTTTAAAGTTTTTAACCTAGCTGTGTAATTGTGGAGAAAAAATACTGTGGAAAGATTAACAACCACTTAAGTTTAATTCTGAGTTACTTAAGACAAAGTACATTGAACACACTTGCTGTTACTTGTATGGTAATTATACCTGAGGGGGAAATGAAGGTGAAGGAGTAATTCATTCCAGGGTCTCATGGTCTGTGCAGAGCCAATGTAGGATGAGAACTTGCCTTTCCCTTACTAATGTTCCCTATCCATCAGACCATAGCCCAAATCAATTATTTTATTGGAGTTCATTTTTAACCTAGCAAAAGCATGTCATATTTAATTTTTACAATAGCTTCCTTGAAAAAGAATAATTAGGTTTTCCTTTATAGGGGAAATATTTTTTAACCTGTAAAAAAATGTTCTGTATGTAGACTACTGGAGAAAAATCTATTTAAGCCAATTACAAATTACAGAAAGTGCCCACCTCAGAACTAACTATTCTAATGAAACTAATAGATAAGGCTAAAAGACAGCTTATAATAAACTTCCAAATTATGGAACATGTCTTTTTCAATTCCCAATGTATCTTTATGCCTACAGATAACTATCAGTATTTGCATTTTTGATCTTTTTCTTAAAAAGGAAGTTTGTTCTTATTTGAAAGAAAAATATATATTTCCTTGGAAACCCGGATAACAAAACTGCATTCATTCAGGCAATTTCACTTCAGTAGTTGTATCTTTTAACTACAAGCTCCAACAGGTATTCTTTGTTTTTACTAAAGGTGTGAAAAAGAATAAGCATATTTATCTTCAAAATAATAAATATAGTCTTAAATATAATGATGCAAGAAAACTAATAACAGGACTATGGATGTTAATCTCTTAAAATTCATCAGCTAGTAAGTTTAGGAACTAGTATGTTGATAAATCTGATCAGAGATAATGAAACAAAAGGTATATGTGATCCGAGGTAAAAATAGTAGATTTTATTTATCATAAAATTTACTCTGTGGGAAATTGCAAAATGTGAGAATTTTTTTGACATTTCAAAGAAATTGTCCCTAGTCGTCTTAGCTGGCTAACACAGCTGAGGTTTAAAAAATCCCCTAATCAGTCAGAGATTTTTCTCTGTAGATAATGGGGTTGATCAGGCTAAAATCCAAACAACAAACCAAAGATGCAATGAAAAATCCACAGAGTAGGAAATCTCACCACACTTTCACCGTTGAAAATACTGTTTTACTTAATTACAAAGATAAGATGGAAGACAAAATAAAATGTCAATGTGTTAGAAAGAATATAAAGTCATTTTTACAGAAGCTATTTAAATATTGGGTTTCTTCTCACAAGGTCCTCCTCAGCTCTTTACATTATTAGTAACAAAAATGTATTAATATGATGCACAAGAACTGTTACTAGTTTTCAGAAAAACTGTTGTAATTACAGAAATGGGCAGATTAATAACTTAGTCATGGTTTCTTGCATTTTTCTCTTCCCTAGTAATGATTAATAACTTGTCAAAATTAAAACTTTGGGGGGAAAAAAAATAGTTCTCAAAAGTATATCTTAAAGATTCACATTGGTGATCCCAATAAAAATGAGTGATCCAAATAATAATCTCACCTCGATTGATTTGTTCTATCGCACCACCACACAACCTGCCTTTCATATTGTGTCAATATGATGAAACAAATAGGTCTGTTAATGCCTTTTTAAAACATGCAAGTAAATGCCTTGGGAGGTTGATAATGGGCTGTACTGACCATCTCATATAATCTACCAGTTTGAAAGTAGCCTGCAATTTGTGTTTGTTTATAATCTTTTATGGAATAAAACTCCTAAAGTTACTCAAAATTTTATTACATACATATATATCACAAGTTTTAATATGTTTAAAATTAAAAGCAAGACCTCATTGCTGAATATGGAAATGTACACCCCTGAGTACCATTCTCCTAGACTATTATTCCCAACTTGAAAATTACATACCATATCTAATTCTTAGCTAATTCTTAGTCAGATTTTATTTATCCTGTTCCTATTGAAGTTCTTTCTTGTGTTTTTATGAACACTTTTTCAGCAACACTTTAACGTTTTGCAAAGAAAAAATACACAAAAACTAATTGCAAGATTTAGGTTTTAAATTCTGCCCTTCTAATGTAACAAATGACAGCCCTCTACTGGTTAATAAATATATAAGCACAAGAAGTACATTTCACAAGAATTTTACATTAATACTATATTTAGACAATATAAAACAATATAAATATATATAGTATAAAATAAAATCAGCCTACAGAAATGCCTGCAGTATTTTATTTGGATCATTAGAAAATATACTATTTCTAGGACTGTAGGGAAACATAGGTCAAGGAAACGGCTGGTTCCTAAATTATATGAACAATATAGACTACTGTAAATCTTCAAAGACAATCTTATCAGACTACAGCTTTTCACACAGTATTCAAAAACTGTAATAAATGTTAATGATAATCATTATGTTATTGTGTAAGGCTTTGTTTTGGTCAGTAAAATGACCTGCAGGTCACAAAAGTCAAATGTTGTCTAAGTAAAAATACCATTTTTCTGATATTTTTATGGTCTAAAACAAGTTTTAAATGCAAATGTGAAAGAGCTTAGTAGCAGACAGCTAAAAATGAGAACCAAAAGCCTGGTATTTGGTACAACAGTTGGCAATACAATCCAGTTTGCAATGAAAAGAATTGCTCATGTATGTTAGCATGAAATTTCGGAAATATGACACATGTATGAGAAAAGTCAAGAATAGCCCTCATATTTTGTTAATTTTTGTGAGTGTGGCAAATCTATAAAGAGTGCACTGTAAAGTGCATCTTCATTAACAGTGTCAACTTGAAAAAGTTTGCAGTAAAAGGAATGTCAGCAGCTGTAAACTTTATTTTCCCTTACTTAGAAAAAAAGAAAAACCAAAAGAAACCCCACTGCAACTGCCAACATGTGACAGCATGAAACAGAGAACTTAAGTATTTCTTTGACTCTACTAGACAGGTGACTCAATGCCCTGATAACGGCATTTTACCAAAAGAAGATAATGTTGGGGGAAATCATGGGAATTAATACCCCGTGTAAGTAAAAGAGATTCAGAACATCCTCCGCACATTCCCATTACGGGAGAGGTTGGCTGTACGCTGTCCCTCTGCCCAGAAACCCTGCACAAAAAGGGGTTTTTGTCTGTGTCCCCCCTGCTTTCTCAGAGGGCGATTTTGCCCCAGTTGAAGCGGCATCCATCTCCCCTGCGGTAGGCCCAGAAAGACTGTGTATTTTAGGAGGGATTAGAGACAAGTTCACCTGCCCTTCACCACGCTGAATTGCAGAGTAACTCTGAGGGGTGTCCTTCACTTTCAGTTGCCTCCCAAAGTAGGTCTGAAGAGTCTCTCAGCCCTACGGGAACAACCAGCCTTTTCTACACTGAGGTAGGGATACTGAAAAGCGAGGTACCAAGAAAATACTGAGGTACTGATAAATTGTGTGAGGAAATGTAGGCGGAAGGTCAGTCAAGTTTGGTTTTGCTGCTTAAGAAATGCGAGCAATTAGTAACAAACAACAAATAACTTGTAGTAAGAAAGGAACAGCCCCCCTCGCTCCCATTTACGCTCAGCACACGCTCCCCACACACACGAGGAGGAGAGGGGGTTTCAGCTCGCCTTAAGAGGAGCCCCTGCCGGGAGCTCGCAGGGCAGGTAAGACCCTTCCCGGCTTTGTTTTCCACGCCGGGGGCCTCGGGACCCGCCTCTCCCGCCGCCATCGCTTCGCCTGAGGCGCCGCGACCTCGGGGCGGGAAGCGCTGGAG